ACTTTCTCCATGGCCATCTTTTTTACTTCTTCTGGTTTAGAGTTAAAATACTTCTCAACATATTGAAGGACCTGTTCTTCTGAGAATCCCGTAATTTCCACACATCTGTTAAAGTGGAGTTTTTTGTCCAACTCGTCGGCTTCGCCCGGTCTTGAAGTTATTATGATGACTGAGTCGCGCAAGATCTTCCTTTGGATTACTTTGCTGATCAGAGCAGCTACTGGCATCTTGGTTTTAGTATCATTTTCAAATTGTTTTTCAAAATCTCCCAATAATTCATTGTGGTCTTTGTATTCATCATATCCATCAAATATGATAAATAACTGGTCTGAGTGCTGAGCGATGTGTGTCATCACTTTCTCGTCAATCATGGTTCTTTCGTTCAACAGCGGGGAGCGGTTAAGCAGTTCTCTGAGGGTGAGCTCTTTGTTTCCAAGCATGACAAGTTGTCTGAACGTTATCAGGTAAGTAAATTTAATGTTAGGGATCGATATGCAATCTGTTGACCAGTCTCTGACGATTTTGTGCGAGAACAGTGTTTTTCCGATACCTGGTTCGCCTGAAATTAGAATTGACTTGGGATTCTCTTCTTCGTTTTCGCCACTGACAAATATCTCTGTGATCTCAGTCACGGTCTTTCGAGCRCATTGACTTTTTTCAGCTTTTTCATGCAGAGATTTTTGCTTGCCTTGGTATACAGTTAAATTTGTGAAAATATCGTCAGTTTTCAGGGGCAGCCTTGATTGATCTATTCTTCTTGGTAGCAAATCTGTCTGCATTGTTATCGCTTCCTTGAGTTTGATGGAATACAAGTCTACATCTGAACAAGAAAGACAGGAAATTAATCGTAGATTAACCAAATATATTTATGTTGACAGATAATTCATTTTATCCAAAAATTGATAGAGTAAAAACATTAAATGTGTGCAACACTTTCCTTACTACAGAAGACTACTTTACTACTATAGAAGAGTATCCCAACTAGGTTCAAATTAAATTAAAAATGATGCAAAATATCTATTGGATAAGGATCAGGATTTTATCATATCCATGCAAATAATAAGAAAGAACAATATTCTAAATCATTTAGTTTAACTAAATGTCATATGTTTAAAATGCAACAAAAATAGTTTTTTTTACAATTTATTTTATTGATGTAATACAAACCTGCACTTGAAGATGGTGATGGTTTATGCAGATCTTGAATTCCTTTGAGTATCTCCTTTTGTCCTTGCTTTATGGCCTCCTGTCCTTGCTGTAGACCTGACTGTCCTTGCTTTATGTCCTCTTGTCCTTGCTGTAGACCTGACTGTCCTTGCTTTATGTCCTCTTGTCCTTGCTGTAGACCTGACTGTCCTTGCTTTATGTCCTCTTGTCCTTTCTGTAGACCTGACTGTCCTTGCTTTATGGCCTCTTGTCCCTGCTGTTGCTCCTGCTTTAGCTCTTCAAGTCCTTTCTTCAGGTCATCAAGTTTATTGCATACTATTAGAAAACATTTGTCATTTATTCTTTCAAGTCATGAACAAAATATGTGTAAATAAGAGCCCTTCTATATGTACATCCATATATGGAAGTCATATGACATTTGGTTACATTTATTGGCATACTATATCCACAAAATAATGGTAATTAACGCTGCATTTTTTCACATATTTTTATATTTTCATCATATATATTCAAAATTATATCTGCTGTATCAACAAACTATTTTTTGTAGTAGAAAAAGTATGTTCAGAACAAACTGATCCATTTTTTGTACTTACTTGTATCAATTCCTTGTAGGATGTCTGTATCTTGTGATGCACAATGTCTTATCAGAGATAACACT